AGGACATCAAGAGTGTCCTTAGTGTTATCGTATGGGCATTACTGTTTATTGTAAGAGGTGGGGGAAGAGTCGCTGCATGATGTCTAAGGTCGGGAAATATGCATATAACCATAAGGGAAGTTGGGGGAATTTTGGTATAGTTTTGTTGGTTTACTCTAAGTCGTGTATGTCTTTTATAATATACTTAATTCACGTCCGACCTGAAAGGGTCAAGCATACCCCGACACGACTGGCCAGTCCGACGTGTGTTTAGGTGTGTATCAAGTACGTCGGTGTGGCCTTCCGTTTCGACTATCATGGTGAGGGTGGTATATTCTCTTTGCTGTTGAAGATAGTACACGAGAGCATTCACAAGGTTGGTACTAAAACACTGATCCTTTGCACTGTATTGGCTACTACTGGTGCTGCGATGATGTGTGGTGATGGTCTTATTACCCCAGCATTAAGTGTGCTAAGTGCAGTAGAAGGTCTAGCTACTGATAAGCTGTTCTCGCCCAGTGGGGTACAGATAGTTAAGGATTTGGTTGTCCCTGTGACCCTAATCCTACTACTACTGTTATATTCACTACAGTTTTTGGGACCCTCCAAAGTTGGTATCGCGAACGGGCCTATTACAATGTGTTGGTTTATACTCATTGGCGGTGTTGGAATATATAACCTCACCAGTAGGTTCAAAATTGGGGTCGAACGTAGGTGAATTTTCGTTGTATTTTTCAGTCTACAATCAATGGATGGTTTTGGTCGATGCTATCAACCCGTACTATGTGTATTATTTCTGGGTTAAATCGAGCTTCGCGGGCTATGGTGCATTCCAACGCTTTGGTGATGTGGTGCTGGCAGTAACTGGTGCGGAGGCGCTGTTTGCTGATATGGGCCATTTTGGAAGAGGACCTATTATGCTCTCCTGGTTCGGACTGGTAATAATAACACTACTACTACTACTACTACTACTACCCCTACTACTACTACTACTACTACTACTACTACTACTACTACTACTACTACTACTACTACTACTACTACTACTACTACTACTACTACTACTACTACTACTACTACTACTACTACTACTACCCCTACTACTACCCCTACTACTACTACTACTACTACTACTACTACTACTACTACTACTACTACTACTACTACTACTACTACTACTACTAGTAGTAGTAGTGTCTATGCCTAGAGTGTCGGCACGTGCAACTCCTAGTAGTAGTAGAGTATCCTTATAAGATTGTTCTATGGTTAAGCTGCGTCTCAAGGTACTCCCTGCACTTATATTCTGCTACACTGGACAGGCAGCATACGTTCTGTCCATCGGAACCCAGGCTGCTGCTAGTAACCCATTCTGGGCTGCCACGCCTAATGCCTTATATATTGTAAGTGGGGGTATTCGAATCGTGATGTGGCGAAGGAGTGGTATTGTTTCAGGTTATGTTGATCTTTGCAACTATTACGACCATTATCGCTTCTCAAGCTATGATCACTGGTTGCTTTGGCCTTATCAATATGGCTGTCTCTCTGGACCTGTTTCCTCGTGTGAAGGTTGTAAATACTAACCCCAAGGAGAAAGCCCATATTTACATCCCTGAAGTCAACTTCCTGCTTGGCCTCGGTAAGACACTTGTCGTTGTAGACGATAACAAAATGGGTTGAATTTTGATGGCTATGTGTAAGACATCGTTATTAGTGCGATTGACTCACACATAGTGGACTTGCAATTAGATGGATGTTCGGGGTTTTACGGTATGGATATACCATATTCGCAAGTTATGTATGAATATCGCCCGATGACGTTCGTCTGTGATATGATTCATATGAAGTGACTTGTCCATATGCCTCTTTTCACAACGAGTTTGGCATGGTATTCGCTTCCCGAATAGGTACCATTATATTGGTGTTGGCCTTCCGGTCAAGTGGAGCCCTTACTGGTGCTTATGGTGTTGCAGTACTATTCACATTCAATATGAGCACTGTAATAACATAGTAAATTTCCCGTGACAACCGGTGTTTTTCCTATCAGCAACTGTATGTGCAAGTGCTGCATCGTGTGTATGGATGGAACTTCATCTTGGCATTCAGTTGCCTAATACCGTTTATGGTGGTCGATGGAACTCTGCTTGTTTCAAACCTGTAAGGAGTACTCTTAGAAAACACTGTTTGATTGTCGTATTAGGTATATGAAAATGGATGAGAACGGTTGGGTGACGATACTAATAGCTGTAGTATTGCTCGTATTCATGTTAACTTGGCGTTACGGGAGGTATGCTACTGGTAATAGCAAGTCGCCCCTCGTGTATAGTTTTCATATGGGACGTCCCTATTTGCTCAGGTAAGGCATATAACGAGTTGGCCGCCCAAGAGGGAGCCTTGTCGAGTTTGTCGGGTCTAGTACTGCAACAGCAAGCAGGAACGTTGAGGTTAAGTCCGGGCACTGGTGTATTTATGAGCCCTACTGAGGAGAAATTGAAGGGGGAGTCTTTGCCAGCTGCACTCTCGTTGTACAATAGGATTACTAATGGAGTTCATCAAAGAACGGTATGGTTACTTTGCTGTTTCGCTCCGCTGAAGTTTTGTAACATTTTTAGGTTTTACTAAGCGTATCGTTTAACACACTGACCCCATTCGTGGATCAAAGCCAACGCGTGGAGGTTGAAAGTAAGGGCGGTCTTTGGAGGGTGTAATGACTATCGTATTTTTGCTCAGGACTGTCGGAACATATTTGGGCGGCTCGTGTTACCTTTGGCTATGCAGAGCCGCTGTCAGAGCTCAACATGGGCGAAGTGGTGAGTATCCTTATACGTTGCATATTTCGAATTTCTCGATATGATAGTTATTGTTAAGAGTAGTAGGAATAGTTTTCTATATGAAGTGTGTCAAGCTGTAGACCTTGTGGGAGCTCAAATTCGTGGAGGCATTCGATTCTAGATCCAGTGATAATTCAAACCTGTGATCAGGTTCGTGATACTATTCTGCCTATTATAAAGCAGAACGTGGCTAATGATGAAACCGTTCATCGTCGTAGACCACAGGCAGCATCTCAGCAATTGGATATGTTATTCTCGGAGGAAAGGAATGAAGAGGCGGAGCAGATGTTGGCTAAGGAAGCTATCGATGGAGAGCAGGGTTATGATGAAGCTGATAATCTCTGGTTTTACATTCACAGAGAAAAAACCGTATGTGATTTAATTATTTCATACCACACCCAGCGGAATTCTTGTCAGATGTCAAAGCCAGGGTCGAATATTCTACGTAGGATAGTGATATCTATGTACGCGGGTATAATCGGCATCACTCGAGACCCGGCTCAGTTTTTCGGCCTGCCTATGGACCTTGTGGTAAGCCTTGATACCAGTGGCTTGAGTTGATGATGCTATATTGTTGTTTTTGTATCAGATTCAGCTCGGTGAGGTATTGAAGATGTAGTGCTGAGTTGATATAAGCATAGGATTCTGTAATTACCTATTTATAGTGGCTGATGACGACCTTAGCAGCAGCAGCAGTAGCCTACTCTTCGTCATTACTATGTTACCAAACTTATATCATTCACAAGCTTTTGCCGGCTTCGACGACGTTCCTTTAATTATACAAGTCCTAGGCTATAGCCATTTCCTGGCTCTAGTAGCATTCAGTGTTGAGTTGATGATCATTATGGGAGTGGTGACACGGTGATACTTACCAGCGTGCTTACAGTATGCAGATGAAGGGGACTAACAGGGTAAAGAGGGTCGCTCGAGCTAAGGGGTGACACCTAAGAATATGCTTTACCCGAAATCTAAGGCGATCAAGTATGATACTTTCAGAAAAAGTGGGGGATTTGATGAGGTTGATGATGGAGAATGGGTTCGGAGTCAGGTTTGATGAGAACGAGACGTTGCTATAGATTATGGATAACTAATTTGAAGGGTGACATTGTCAAAGGTGTGGTAGGGGTATTATTGGTAGTAGGCTTAGCTCGGGTCCCATTATAACTAGCCGCGAGTTCTAGTGGTATGATTAGCTGTATACTGCTGTCTAGGGCCGCTCATTATGCAGAGGGAGAGAGAGCTGTTACAGACCAAGGGTTCCAAGGCTATGCTCTGTCATCGCCTATCAGTACCCTAGTCAAGTCCCCATTCCTGCTACCTCATACCTCGACACCTCAAACTGTTTATGTACCTAACGGCTACCTCACACTGTAGCGGTAGCCCATCCTCAGCTAGACTAGTGTCCTGTGGCTCTGCTCCTGATGCCTCAGTAGATATGCGTATAGAAATAGTGATGATAATACAGTACTTATTCATAATTTCCATGCTGGTACCAGCAGCGTCATTTTCTATCTCTCTCAAAATCATATGCATCAGTGTCAATAACCATAACGTGATTAACTTCCCGGCCAACGATTCCTACTCGCAAGGCACTAGGTAATACATTGAATGGACGGGAACGAGGTTGCAGTAAACTCTTCCCGTTAACGCTCCCTCTACTCTCGGTCGTAGCGTATACTTACTACTCGGCAGCGAGACCCCTGTGTAGATAGGAGCTCTAATTTCTCCATGCCCAGCGTATATACCATCAATTTTTGGCTTCATTTTCAAGACCAAATTTTTTCTCATTCAGGAGATCTCAAAGCAAAATTTTGGATCTTAGATGTGACTCCTACATTAATGAAAGTAAAAACTAGAAATTCATTCAAATTTATCAACCACTCGAACCTGTTTAACGTAATTTTGGAGATGGTCACGACCTAACGTAACAAATTGCCACGAATAAATTTCCTCGACAGTACCGCATTTTATGCTTCAGTGGAAAGGTGAAAAGAAAAGGTATCTCATCAACTGACTCAGAGACGTACCGACTATCATCATCAGCGACTACGGCAACCGGAAAAGGTTTACCTATTAGTATTAGTCTGTTAACGAGTTGTAACACTAAACCATGCACGTTAAGACCAAAGCCTTTTAACACAGGTCTAGCTAACTCTCTCGTTATTATTATCGCACTGTGAAATGAGTCTAAGGCACGTAGTAGAGGCCTAGAACCCAAACAAGTAAACAGTGCTCAGTAATCTCCCCCCCCCCCCCCCACTGTTAACGCAACAGGGCTCGCCAACTCCGGTCAGGTTAGCCGCCTAGTAGGAAGTCGATCTTTATCGTACGACAGTCGTGGGAGTGATCTGCCTCCTACTTCTTAGAAGCTGATGGGAGCAACAGTAGCAAGTTCAGCCTTGAGCTTGGGGTCAGCAGCAACCTGCTTCTGGGCCTCAGACCTGACCTTGCGGATGGTCTTGGTGACCTTGGTGTAGTACTCGGCCTTGTGGAGGTTACGACGCTCAGTGAGACGCTCGACAAGAGACTTGCACTTCCAGCCAACCCTCTCACTCAAGTCACCGAGGCAGCAGAACTTACGAGTGGGCTTCAGTCTTAAGGCCTGCATTATAACAATACTATAATAAGAACAGAATGATAAAGCATCATTACCTTGAGGGCGCAAGGGATGACCTGCTTGGGGGCCTTATCGTAAGGATGCGGCATACCATCGAAAACCTTCAGACGATCGAGAGCAGCCTGGCCACGGGCGGTCTTATGACGGATCATACCGCGAATGGTCCTCCACAAGATCTTAGAGGGAGCCTAACGACACCGAATTGATAATCGAATTTAGTAGTAGTGAATATTACTCTGAAGTGGATGGGACCCTTCTTGGGGTTGGAGTTGGTGTGCTTACGCTTGAAGCTCTCGTACT